CTTCCGCATTCGCACACCAATCGTTGCCTCTCTTTCTTATTTGATAGTCCCGTCTCTTTCTTTTTGTTATGACAGCTGGAGTCTTTGTTTGGTCCCTGTAAAATGCTCGCTGTCTTCACAGAGAAAAACTTTAAGATTTTTGAAGTTTTTAAGTATAGAAAATATAATTTTGAATAAATTTTTTTTATATTTAAAATAAATCTTTTATTTAAATCTCAATTTTATAAACAATTAGGATATTTTTTTAACTAATCCTTAGTTTATAACTAAATTTAGTTCGTATACCTTCACATTCCTTGCTCTCAGTGCCTCAGTGATTAAACTTTAACTAATTTGGTGCTCCCGAAGAAACCGGTCGGGGAGTCTTGGCCAAGTCCAAGAGCTGCTGCCGCCTTTTTCCCTGATGCCAAGGCAGCCTCCCTCCCTCCCATTTCCCGCTGGCTAAGCGAATGAATTATGTTATTTGAAATTAGTTTGTGCCTGGCTTTCAAAACTCCTTCAAGTCTAGATATATACACACACACACTCACACACACACGATTCCAATCCCACAATCTGAGAGAGCTGGCAGCGCCTGCGGAGTAATTAGGTTAATTTTAATATGTTTTGTATGCACCGTCCCTGCCCTCATCGCCGCCTCATGCTGCCTCATGCCCCTGCCCCAATTGCTATAACTTCATGGGCATGACGACGCCGTCGCCGGTTAATGGAAAAATATCTCAAATGATGCTGGCCAGGATGCCTTTTGTAATTAGCAGCCATTTCAACGAGAGCCATCCAACAAAAGCTAAAAAGTTTGCCCGCACTTAATTACTCTCCCCTCTCTTTGTCACTGGGATCTTCCTCTCTCTTTCTCCTGGGTTCTTATCCCCCTTTTGTTTGATTTTATTAGTGCATCTCTAAATTGATATTAAGGGAGAGAGTAACTATCATAGGAATTTATTTACCATTTAGTTATAAGAATTTTCGAAGGTTTGTTAAGAATATCTTGAAGTAAGATTTAAGGCTAGTATGGAGGGTTTTATATAAAAATATATAAATATATATACAAACCCGATTTGAAAGAGTATCTATCATACGGTGTCGTGGGCGATCCTTCACCTCTATAGTCTTTATGGCTTGTCTAGGCGATAATTTTAATGTTGTTTGGTTTATACACGTTCGACTATTTCACTTCATTTTTCTTACACCGGCGAGTGGTGCTGACAAGTTTCGGAACGTTGCTGAAAATGTGGCCACAGTTTGCCCCGTGGCATTGTGGCAATATATTAGACGAAGTCGGGGGACGAGAGATTTGCATTTAATTACGGGCAGTCGGCGGTTCGTAAGGGGGAGGGCGGGTGGAGACTGCATGGAGTACGCCCGAAAGCCAAGTTAAGATCGAGTCAAGACGGCTATGGTCTGCGTGTGTGTTCCAAGGCAAACGGACTGGCAAATGATAATTACAGAAAGCATGTAAGCTCTAGAAAGACAGACAGAGAGAGAGAGAGGTAAAGAGTAGAGGGAAAGGCCTAGCTGAAAGAGAGAGGTAGATGGTTCAGAGAAAGAGAGAGAGAGAGAGGGGTAGATGGACAATGTGCTAGAAAACGTTAATTTCAAATTTATGTAGAGCGTCGTCTAGTTTTCTGGCCCGTCTAAGCTGATGACTTTGAGTTACCACCACCCTCTCGTCATCCATCTCCTTTTATTTAAGCACTGTAAAAAATGCTATATAAATGTATATTCCAATTGGTTTTTACCTTTAAGAAAGCTTTTAAGATTAGAAAATTATCACTAATTAAAGATGAGTCTTCCTTATAACTGCCTTCTTGCCTTTCACCCTTTCCTCATCAATATACCCTTTAAAGATTATTATTTGAGTGTACCGCAACCCACCAAAAACCTCCTCTTTTAAGCCCCCTTTCACAGCAATCTCGTCTTGGCCATGGAAGAAGTTTCCCAAGATGCCCGCAGGGCGCGTGCTGAATTTAATCAGTTTGCCGGCCAGACTGGCGAGCTGCAATGACAATCAAGCCAAGATGGAAAGTGGGCAGTGGCCCCACTGCATCCGCATCCTCGACCACAGCCCACAGCTCCTCCCACCGCCTATTCTCCTCTCCCCCTCCCCCTTAAAATTGGCCAACGGGCAACGTAAATTAGACGACAACTCGACAGTGCAACATTTAACGGTAATACGCTTTATAGCTGCCGGTAAAATGCAGCCCAAAATTATACATAGAAGACAAAGACGGAGCGTGAGGGTGTGAGTGAGCGAGCAAGCGAGATGGACAACGTGAAAATTCGGAAAATTAAGTTGATGAGGTGATGTGGACCAGACGTACTGGACAAGGTACGACACAACACCGAAGTGGAAGCATCAAGCGGCACTTAAATATTGACCAAAATTGGCTACAAACAAAATCAGCAACCACTAGAATGAGCGATGGCCAAAAGTGATTTGTCAAGATGTACGAAGAGTGGATGCTCTTTGGATATATTTATAGGAATAAAGATCGTGGTAAGATAAGAAGGACAACTCTTAGGGAATGCTAAAAGGGAAAATCCTTTTCTAAAGATAAGAAACTTTCTTAGAAGCAAAACCTATAAACCAGCTAAACTATAAGTTTACATTTTCTAACCAGTTAGTTTAAGCTTAAGCTTCCTTTTCAGAAAGTTAGTGAGGTATATAATAGCTAATAGAAAGCTCTGTTTTCCTTTTGTTTAAAAGAAGAACAGTGGTCTTCCTTCTTTCCTTTTACCCTAAAAATTTATCAATTCCACTTAATAATAAAAGAAAAGACAGCTTTTTCTGATTCTTCTCTCTAAACAACTACAAATCTGCATCCTTGCCCACCGATCAGCGATCACGTTTGATCCGCCATACCCTCACCTTTCAATCATTAGTCAGATTTTGGCTTTGGAATCTGGGTAATCGCCAGTCGAAGAGGCCTAAGTGCATACCCTAGCAAATCACATTAGGAGAGGCAACAACAAAATCATCAAATGGCGTAGGCAGTTGCAGTCAGTTTCAGTTTTTCCAGAGGGAAGGGAAGAAGGCCTTGAGGGGTTTTCAAGGGGCTTTCAGACAGACGACTACCACGACGACGACGACGTCATCGACACCTCCGATAGTCCAGGCTGGTGGGTGGGTGGCTAGACTGGACGACCAACAGTGAGCAGGAATATCGGAAGAGGCAGCCCGTTTGGCAGCCTCGGCTGACCGACAGCCTCGACCGGTTGAAGACCGCACCAGTCGCACTGCTGCTGCTGCTCTGCTGCATCTTCTGCCTCACCCAAAACAGGGAGGGAGGTGTGCAGATTGCGGCGGGGGCTTGTCTACTGACTTGACTGTAACCTCATTGACCAGAAAAATGCAAGCGGCAACAGCAACAAGCGCAGACAACAAAACATCAAATGTGAATTAGTGCAAAGGTAGCCAAGGAGCAAGGGTACACTGAAAGAAAGTATGAACTTTTCATATATCTGAAAGTCCAAATAATGCCTATCATATGGACAAAATATCTTTAAAAGTAAAATTTAAAATAAAAATCATAACAAAGCCATTTTAAAAGATTACAAATTCTTTTTCCCTTTGAATTAACAAGAAATTGTTTTCAGTGCAGGAAAAAGAGAGCCGAAGAAGGAGCAGAAGACGTGGCGCAGAGGGAAGGACGACGAAGTGGGTGGAAGTGTGGGAGGAAGAGTGGGCAGAACAAGGCAAAACGTTTCCATATTTATTGGCACTTTTCGGTTTTCTGGAAGCGGTTCCAGCAGATGCAAAAGAGGGCGTGCGGGGGTGTGGTTCAGTGGACCCGGCACACGTCACATTGTGGGTGGGAGCGAGGTAGATAGAGGAGGGGGAGAAAGACAGGAGAATTAGAGTAAGAGCGAGAGAGAGTTCTGGGTTTCGAGTGAGGTTTTGTCCGACGCGCTGAGTGACTGAAGCTTTTGGCATTGGCTTTGCTATGCGAATTCGGATCGAAACTTAAATTATTAATTCCTAGCAATAGTTGTGAGAGGGGTGCGAAGGGGGTGTGGAGGTGAAATTTTTGGAGAAATTGACAAATGGGTTGAACACTCTGATGGAGTAGTCATGAGCTTCCCATGAAGAGGTCTTGTTTGCCCACTCATCCCGCTATTTAAATAATCCTAAATTCATTTCGAAGATAGAATTTTAATTATTTCTTATGTTCTAGAAAATAAAGTGCTCATTATTTATATTTAAAAAGTACATTTTAAGGGAAACTAAAATATTTCAAGAAAAATTGCTCATACGCCTTGTAGGTTGTTCAGTATTTTGTGTCCAAAAATACCAAAACTATGTATACCAGAAATACTCTTCAAGAGATATGCTCTCTTTATCCCCCACTTTTCGGGCAGTGTAAAATGTGCAATGTTTAGCTGTAATAAATGCTCAAAATGCGCTCATAAAAATCGCTCACAATGCAGCACGCTCTCTCTCTCTCTCCTTCCCTCTCTCTCACGCTGTCGTTAAGTGCCTTTCGTCAAGTGTGCAACTTCTCCTTTTCTCAGAACAACAGTTATAAGCTCTGCCTGCGTTGGCATCGCAGTCAACGTCGACTGCTGGCAGCAGCGTCGCTCATTTGTGCGCTTAATGACGTCATTATTTTTATTTTAACAGCGCCAAGCAAATTGCATATATACTGTTGCTGCTCCTGCGCAGTCAACGCTCTGCCGGCGTCGCTGCAGCGTTCGTTTATGCGTTGGGGGAAGGGGGTGGTTAAACAAGAGACAGAAAACGACAGAGAGAGAGAGAGAGTGAGAGAGAGAAAGAGCGAGAGAGCGAAAGACAGGGAGTAAGAGAGAGAGACCCCAGTATACGTTTCTCGCTCGCACCTGCTGAGCTGAGTGTAAGGCTTCGGGTTCTTCGCCTTCGTTTTGTTTGCTCGTGTTTGCTGGTATTGTTGTTGTTGCTGCCGTAGCTGTAGCTGCTGCTGCCGCTGCTATTGCTGTTGTTGTTGTTGTTGTTGTTTTTCCTTTTGCTACTTATGCTGATGATTGCGATTGCTGGGGGTCCAAATTCAAACCAAAGCGCCGCTCGTGCGCCACACGTTCATTCAGTCGACGGACGACGCTGCGCCTGAAACGTACGACGGCTGATCTGAACCGGAATCGAAGCGAAAACGGCCATATAATAATAATAATAATAATATCTTGAACGCCACTCGAGACACTCGTGCAACCAACCAACCAACCAACCAACAAACAAACAAACAAAGTGCAACATACAATACACATGCCACAAGCAAATAAACTCCGGCGTGTGCCAGCAGTTAACAGCTGTCTTTTCAACATTTGAACCATATCAAAAAAATATATATATTAGCATATATATATTCCTAGGAAGTTTCGCGATTTTCATATATATTTTGGCGCGTTGCGATCGTCTCTTTGGGAATCTCAAGCTGTGCGTGGGTGTTAAGCATCTAACAGATACTCATTGCTACTCGTAGATACTAATGAATACTTTGAATGCAGTGCTAGTTTGTGATATGAATTTACATAAATATACTTAGAAAAAAAAAACAAAGCGACCATTGGAAAAGTGCTGGGAAAACAGGATTCAAGTTTATCAAATATCAAAAAGATCTTCAACGACTTTGGGCAGCTGCTTAAGAAACTCTAAAAAACGGTAAATAATTTTAAGTCTTTTTAAGTCAGAATATTATAAAAATTCATAGCATACTTATTTTTGGTTTTTTGGCTGGATTTGGAAGAATTTCAAAACATAAAGTAAACTTCCCTTTTAATAGCTTTTAGTAGAAGATCTTTGCTTACTAAGATTCTAAAATTACTTTCTTTAGCAACTTTTGATATTATAATTGATTTCTTAAGAGAAGAGTTTACTTTCTTTTTATTACCTTTTAATTTTTAGCACGACATGAATAAGTTTCAACTTCTTAAGGCTAATATTCCAACTTCTTAAGTTTATGCTTACCATAATTATGACTTATTATGATTCTTATAAATGGAGATCGTTTTGGGATTTTTATTTTGAGATCATAAAGTAGGAAATCTTGGCTAAAATATCGTCCTCAACTGATTTATTTCCTTTAAAATATGATTCATTGATATATAATAAGTACATGATCATGATAAATATACCAGTTTTACATGAGCTTAATAAAAACTGTGTACTAAATGGAAACCACAAAAGTTTTTATATACAAAATTACATAAATTGGCAAAAACCAATAAAAATTAACAAATTGCAAAACAAAAAACCAAAAAATAAATATATATTTTAAATTCTTGTAAAACTACTTAACCCCAATTTCCATATTAACTAATTTGTTTTGTGATAAAAAACTATTTAACCCAACTAACAAGCTCATCAAAGTCATAAAAACAGTCGAAATCTTCAACCTTTTAAGCTTCTCACGCACTTCACTGCACTTGAATATTGTTCGAAAATGCAGCAAATGCAATTTTTATGTAAATCTCAACCCTGACATGGTAATATGCAAAAACCAATAAATTGATGCGATTTCGCTGCAGGCGGTTAATAACTTTAATTAACGTTAATTTTATCAACATCAGCATTATCGTCAGCGGCATGAATGCATGCCAGTGCAGGCGACTCAAAAATAGTTGCGACGTTCTAATAATAAAACCAAATATAATAAATGGCCATAAACAAACTAATCATACAGTGGACAGTGGCAATTTGCAACAATGAGGCGCTCATCAAACGATCGCTAAAAAAAGCTTTTAAAAAAAAAAAAAACTAAATACAAATGAAATCAGAATGAAAAATGAAAACTCTACACATAAATAGTTTAATGTGCTAAGCCTTGCTGCTGCTGCTGCTGCGGCGGCTGCCACCCCAAACACAAAAATTACTAAAACGTATTACAATTGACTAGCTCAGTGTCATTTTTGCAAAAAAAAAAAGGAAAAAAAAGAGGCACATTATAATCTAAATGTATCTATGAGATACAATAAACAGCAGCGCACAATTCGCACTAACAACAGCGCCAGCGGGCGTAACAACAATTGTAATAATCAGTTTCATTTCAAAGCCGGACCAACCTGCGCGCTACATTTTTCCCAGTGCCCAGAGCTCCACTACTTGGAAGCCCCACCCCCGATCTTGTTCCCCCTCCTCCTCCAGCTATATAGCTATATCCAGCGATCCCACCATTACATCTGCATTCGAATCCCAGCTAAATCGTATCTATGCAGTTGCATTGTTAGCGTGGCTCGCTCATTTAATTAAATATAATTAGCTGCATTAATTGCAAATTAATACAGAATTTAGTCTCTTTGTTGCCCGGTTTCATTGTCGTTGCCAGGCAGATATTAGCCAGCTATTTCCCTTGCTACCAACAACTCGTTCTACACGCCTCGTTATCGCCGGCAATTATTTAGCGAGTATTAACTGGGTTCTAAGGCCCACACAAACCTAATGGCCAAACTCTCTCTCTGGAACGTTGACACTCATTCGGGACGGGGGCTGCATATCGCAGCTTAATGAGCTGCATTTCAATTTGAGTTTTGCTTTAGTACTTAGTTAGTACTTATTCGATATAGAAAGTCTATTTTTAATACCAGCTTAGTACTTATTCGATATCGAAACTAGAATTTTGCATTTTATCTTGAGGGAAATTATCATATCTTTATGATTTATGATAGCAAAGTTAGTAAGGAAAAGTATCTAAAATCTAATAATCAAAAATATCTAACAAATGGATTTATTAAAATCCTGTAAGCTATTAATAATATTACGTTAATGTAATAAGTAAAAAATCTATCTAAGTCAAAAATATCTAAAAAGCATTCTTGAAGTTCTTCTTAAGTTCTAGTTAGCAATTATTTTATAATCATTTCTTATTCTATAAAAAATATATTTAATATCTATAAATCATAAACATCTATTAAGTTTATTCTATAAATTCTTGTAGGTTATTATTTAAATATGATTTTTATTATATTTAAAATGTTTATTGCTGTAATTCGCTCGCTCAAACATTATTCCAATTAGCTAGCCAGGTAATAAAAATATACTTTATTTCCTAGGAATGAGTTGAATATATTGTAAAAATAATTAAGTACTAAATTAATTTACATATTCAGAAATCTATTTTCAAAGCAGTTGCATTAATAGATTTCTTTCTTAACTGCAAGTTTTTTTTTAAATAATTTTTTATTAAATTAATCTCCTAAAAAGCCGTCGGCATTTATAGACTTTCTTAGGGAAAAATCTATTTGCTTTACACTTTTACCTTGAGATCTACAGCTGAACAAATTAGCCCGTCTTACTGTCTACTTTTTCATTTAACAAATTAAAGTTTCCTTTAATTGCAAAATCAGTATAGTAACCACATAAAATTGACTGAAAGATTTTTCTCAAAAAACCATTTTGAGTGGCATCTTTGGTAAATCAGAGAAATCCATTAAATGCGCGTGTCTGTCTTCGCAAAAGCATTGCGACAGCTTTTAATGCACAAAATAGCTGTGAAAACGGAAAATCAACGACTGCGGGAAAAATGATTAGATATTAAATTATAAATTAAATGTTGTTGCTGCTGAGGTTGTTGCTGTTGCTGTGCTTTTTTATGACAAACGGATGACGAACGCATAAAAATGCAGCGGCACAAGAAGCGGAAAAACAACAAAACGACAGCAGACAAATCAACAAGGAGCCAAACATCACACACACACACACACACACCCAACACACACTCATTAAAAATAACCAAAAGCCAGCAGAAAATTGCAATTTTCCCCTACCCCTCCCAAAAGAAAAAGAAAAGATATAACCCAACGATCGCGTCACGTTGTCACTTTATGTAGGCAAATCGTAAAAATGAATGAAAGAAAATCCGCAAAAGCAAAACGCTTAATTATGTGCCGTGTATTTTGGACAGCTGCCGCGGCCACGCCCTCTCAAGCAGCTGGGCGGCCTTTTTAATTAAGCATAATTAAAGTAATAATTATACTCCGTAAAAGGCATTGAAGTTTTCGGGGCAAATGAGGCGATGTCTAAGGGCGGGGCAAGGCAGTGGCATCTTGAAAGGATTTCTCTTTCTCTGTTTTTGATGTGCGGCCAATTTGCAAACTTGTGCAAACATAAAATGCAATTTTATTGCCCTAAAACAGCCAGGGTGGCGAAAATGCAGGAAGTGCGTTCTCCTACCAAGCCAAAAGCAATTGAAAATGCATTTGCCTGGCCGACCAGAAGGCGGAATCAAAGGGATATATAGCTAGTCATATAGATCCTTATATCAGTATATCAGTAATGACCAGATTCTTGGTAATATTACTTACTTACTTACTATTATGTTCAGTTCTAGCTACTCTGTGAGTCATGAAAAATCTATCAGCAACCTTTCATGGACTCCTCAAAAGTATCTTATATATAGAATATTCAAAAGATACTTCCCATTCTTTGGCTACTTAAATTCTTGCCAATTGTTTCTTCCTAAGTAATACATATCTGCTGCTGAGCATTTCCATTTGCTGAGATGATCTTGTGAGGATTGGCTCACTTTTCGCCGAGCCACCAAAATAAGATACATTGCATGCCGCACATGCCACAAAGCCTACACAAAAAGCGAAAAACACGCACACACGCCGTCGCTCATTTAATAATGAAAAATAATGAAGACTAATAATAATCATCATCATCAGCAAAACGTGAGAGTATCCAAGTGACATTATACATACAGATATATATATATATATAGTCTTTCCTATATGTGTTGGGGCAACGAAATTTTATCAACAAACGCGCATCATTTCAATTAAGAAAATGTCACAAGTGTCCAAGCAGCCCGAGCCTAAAAAACACGCCAAATGCGGCAAGTCCGGGGGATCCTCCGCACTTTCATTTCGCAGCTTATCCCCCGTCTCTCTCTCTCAGAGTCCACCCCTCTTTAATGGCTTATTTTTTGGAGCATTTCTTTAGTAATTAATGCGAATTGTCACACGCTAGAACTATAGAACTAGAAATAATGTCAACTGCCTTCGATTCGCCTTCTAATTCATTACATTTATCGTCGCAGTTTGTTGCCCGTTTCCTATTCTTAATTAGCAATTAAACAATTTATGCTTTTGCGTGAACAATGAGCCCGAAATTTTTGTGCACTCCAAAAAAACATGAAACAATAATTAATTCCATTCCATAAAGTATTTTGCTCAATTAGCTATTAAAAAGAAAATACTAGAAGTAGTTTACCATTGCGTGTATTGCAAGATGGAAATGGTCTACAAAATTCGGGGTTGTTCTGTGGAGCCAATCATGCTTGATGGATGGATTGTCAAAGATGCCAGTTAGGCGATAGGCATAATGTAAGTCTCTCGTGTTTGGGTCATTATGCTGATAGATTCGGTAAAATAATTGTTTTTAAGGGTTAGGTAATGACATTTATTTAAATTTTTAGGTTTTCTGTGATGATTATCAGGGTTAATGTGGTTTAAAAATCAAGAAAAAACACAAAAAATCATTTGAATTTTTATCAAATTTAAGAAATCAGTTCTTGGTTTTGGAATTGTAAATAAGAACCTTTATTTTTCGTATTTAAACTGATTTTTTTAACCCAAAATACCAGTTAACAAGTCGGTATCATAAACCCAATTTAAGTTTACGCGCTCATTTGGCCGGTTTATTAATCAAGTTTGATAGTAAAA